AGAGACAATTAGCCATACATTCACATCCTCCTCCTATTCCTGACTCTCATTCCTGTGTTGCTCCAGGCAAATAGAGACCAATTGTCATGACTTGGATGGCCACTTGCAAGCTTTTAAGACCCTAGATACTATGCAATGAACTAGGAGGTAGAACAGAAGCACTAAACATGGGATGCCCCATGAAACCATGACCCTAAACCTACAAACCAAGAAACCAAATCCCATGAGGTTTGTGGTTGTACATAAGCAGCCTTAGCAGCTACTTTCTTGTTTTTTTTGGTCATTGCTGTAAATCTTTCATACTTCCTATTTATTTGCCTTTCTCTGCTGCATTCTGAATAATTCCTTCAGTTTCTAGTTCACTAATTCTCACCTCACTTGTGTTTAAGATGCTATTTAACCTGTCAGTTGAATTTTTAATTTCAATTATTACATTTTTCACTTCAACAAGTTCTATTTGATTTTTCTTTTTGCAAAACTACTTGGTCTTTTTCTAGTTGTTTTTTTTTCCTCATTATTTTTTATTTATTTAAACATATTAACTGCATTTATTTTATATTCTATATGTGATAATTCCAATATCTGTAGTCATTGCTGTTCTGATTTTATTATCTGTTGTTTCTGCTGACTCTTCCTCATAGGTCTTTTCTCATGTGTGTTGTGACTTTTGGTTTAAACTCATTTTTATTGAATATTATCTGTGAGAAATCATTAAGGCTTGAGTTGAGGTTGTTTGCTTCTGCCTTATACCTGGTGTCACTACCTTCTGGGACCACTTTAAAATAAATTTTCAGGTTGAAGTATTTCATACCACAGATACACAGTGATCAGAAGAAGCCCTTAGGACAGCCAACAGCCAATAACTCTTGGGATTCCTGCTTTCTCTTTATTCTAGACTCTAAGGATTTTTCTTTTACCTTGTTAATTCATTAACCAAACCAAACCAGACCAAACAAACCCACTGCTGGAGAGTCGCTTCCGACTTATAGCAACCCCATAGGGTTTCCAAGGCTGTAAATTGCTACAGAAGCAGACTGCCACATCCTTCTCCCACAGAACTGCTGGTGGTTTCGAATCCCCAACCTTTCAGTTAGTAGTTGATCACTTTAACCACTGGGCCACTATGTATGTAAAATATATTTTAATTTGTCATCTTCAATTTTAAATTATTTTTTAGTGGCAGAGTTGTTCTTGTCTATCATATAGTCAGAAATAGAATAGCTAAGAAATTTTTTACTCTTGGCTAGAATGTGAAACTACATGAAAAAGGTTTCTGACATGACTACTATAACAAAGAACTTTTACATATTTATTTTTCCTTTTATAGGGTGAGCGTGGAGTCCCAGGGCCATCTGGAGAAAAAGGAAGTAGAGGAAATCGGGTAAAGTATAAGGATATTCTTTTTTTTATTTATTGTATTTTAGATGAAGGTTTACAGAGCAAACTAGTTTCTCACTAAACAATACGCATATTGTTTTGTGACATTGGTTGCCAACCCCACAACATGTCAACACTCTTCCCTTCTCAAACTTGGGTTCCCCATTACCAGCTTTCCTGTCCCCTCTTGCCTTATGTCCTTGCCCCTGGGCTGGTGTACCCATTTAGTGTCATTGTGTTTTATGCGCCTCTCTAATCTTTGGCTGAAGGGTGAGCCTCAGGAGTGACTTCAATACTGAGCTAGAAGGGTGTCCGGGGGCCATACTCTCAGGGTTTCTCCAGCCTCTGTCAGACTAGTAAGTCTAGTCTTTTTTTTTTTTTGGTGAGTTAGAATTTTGTTCTACATTTTTCTCCAGCTCTGTTCAGGACCCTCTATTATGATCCCTGTCAGAGCAGTGGGTGGTGGTAGCCAGGCACCATCTAGTTGTGCTGAATTCAGTCTGGTAGAGGCTGTGGTAGTTGTGGTCCATTAGTCCTTTTGACTAATCTTTTCCTTGTGTGTTTGGTTTTCTTCATTCTCCCTTGTTTCAAATGGGGTGGGACCAGTGAAGTATCTTAGATAGTCGCTCACAAGCCTTTAAGACCCCGGACGCTACTCACCAAAGTAGAGTGTAGAACATTTTCTTTATAAACTACGTTATGCCAATTGAGCTAGATGTTTCCCGAGACCATGGTCCCCATAGCCCTGTGAGGATATTCTTCTCTTATTTCTACTGCATGAAGTGACATTGACAGTTTATTTTTAACCGAGACCATGGTCCCCATAGCCCTGTGAGGATATTCTTCTCTTATTTCTACTGCATGAAGTGACATTGACAGTTTATTTTTAAGCTCTGGGAAGGAATCATCTAGTGGTTTAAGTGCTAGATTGAAAGTTAAAGGACAGTAAATATTAGATAATTATTTGGAAACTTTACTTAAGGCCTGCCTCTCCTGATAGTGAGATGAGTAATGTAAATCAAGTTTCTTAACATTTCGTGCCCTAGAACAGTAATCATGTCACTCCCTATATTACAAACTTTCCATGACTCCCTGTTGCCAATGATTTAGTCTCACATCCAAGACCCTTTCAACCACATCCTTCTCTAATGTCAGTCAAGAAATATCTTTTCCAGTCAGATTGTACTGATCGTTGTCCCGTGAACATTCCTTATGCATGCCCATCTCTGTGTCTTTGCTCATGACGGGTGACCCATCCTGGAATGCCTTTCCTCTTCAGCCATCTTCAGTGTTTGGATATCACCTTTTCTTCAATGTTCAGGTTCTCTTTTTCCTCCTTATGCTAGTCTGTAGTGATCTCTCCCTTCTCTTCCTCTTTATAACTTACATTATTTGTACTTGCTGCTTGACAGTGATTACCTACTGCCTCATACTAGTAACTATACTTCTGTAGAAGGGAAGGCAGATACCTGGCACATATACTACAACTTCTTCCTGGGTCTGTGGTATGGCGTTTATCCTACTAATTGATTACAATCTTCTTTCCTACTAATCCAAGCATGGCTGAAGGATCGTTCTCATCAAAGTACTATAATCAGCTTGATTGGATTAGATACAGGAGGTGAATTTGTTTATTTATACTTCTTTTTACTTCTCATCGACTAAGAGTAATGGGTTTCATTTCAAGTATGCACAATTAGTGGTGTGGATTGATTTCCTGATAAGCAAAACAGGGAGAGTCAGAAGACATGGCTTTTTATTGAGGTTTAATTTCCAACCTCAAGTTTGTGGATTAGATTTTGGAGAAGATAGAGAACACCACACCTCCTCAAGACTGGAGAATCTTCAGTTTCGGGTGACTTTAGTGAAGTTTAACAAACACCTGTCAAGTGCGTCCTACCTGTGGGTCACAAAAAAAGAGTTCAAAGATGCATAAGACATGGCTGTGACCAACAAAGAGCTTATCTCGTGCCGGACATAGGATTTGTACAGGAAAAACTTTAACACTATATAGTAGAGGATAAAGGCTGTAATAATGGGGCAAATAAAGAATCAGTGGGAGCATGGTGACCTGGAAACTACAATGAATAGACTGGCTTTTCTTCATCTGATCAGTCATCCTCTTTTATAATCCAGGCATGATTCTAGAATGGGGAACAAAGCAGACATGGGTTCTGTATCTCTGAACCGACCTCTATGGGGAGAGCCAGACATTCATGAAATAATCACGCAAGCAGATGTAAGGTTACCACTGAGATAATTTACTTGTTGTTTTTAGTTGCCATCAAGTCGACTCACACTCATGGCAACCCCATGTGTTACAGACTATGCAGCCAGGAAGACTTCATCCAGGAAGTGAAGGTGCAGCTGAAATTTAAGATTGAAAAGCAGTTAACCAAGTGATGAAGGAGACAGGGAAAGGCAAGACAACAACCTTCCATACTAAGGCCTTGTGACATTTGAGCAGATTCCTGAAGGATGGAGATGATTCAAGCATTCCTGAGAATACAAGAAAGCAAGAAATTTTCACTCAGACTTCTGTGAGAGGGACAGGGAGAGAGACACAGGGCATTCCAGCCTAAGGAAAGCGCACAAGGAAAGGCTTAGAGTTAGAAGAACTCAGGGCAGGTTTGGAGAGAGAAGGATTCCAATTCAGCAGGAGTGGAGGGATGAAATAAAAAGGATAAAGAATGAGAGAGGGAAGTCTGGATGGACAAATGAGAATCAATTTCCATGTTTAAGAGTTTTGTTCTTTTCTACTGGTTAATCAGGGGCCGTTGAAGGTTTTTAGGTGAGGGAGAGTCATGGTCAAAGCTACAGGTTTGGAAGATTACTCTGGAAGCCAAGTGTCTGGGTTAGAAGAAGGAGGAACTAGAAGGAGGGATAATCATAATAGGTACTGTGTGCCAGGCTCCATGCTAAATGCTTTTAATTTATTATTGCATTTAATCCCTAGAGCAGCCATGTGAGATAGGTACTTCCATTTCACAAATAAGAAAATTGAGTCTTAGAGAAACCGAAGGAATTTGCCTAGGTAGTAAATTAAGAAGGTCCCTGGGTGGCGCAAAAGGTTTGTGCTTGACTGCTAACCTAAAGGTTGGCAGTTCGAACCTACCCAGTAGTACAGAAGAAAAAGCCTGGCAATCTGCTTCAATAAAGATTACAGCCAAGAAAACCCTATGGAGCAGTTCTAGTCTGTAACACATGGGGTTGCCATGAGTCTGAGTCGACTTGATGGCAACTAATAAAAACAACAAGTAAATTAAACAGCAGGTTTTGAATTTAGAATTACCTAGCTCTCTTTTACCAGTATATTAAGCCAGGAGAGACATAAAAAGGAGTCTCCAGTAAGGTTAAGAAATGGCTTTTTTTGGAGCCTAGAGGACATTCCATTCTCTGTGTGGTCTGAGATCCAGAGAGGGGCCCACTTCACTATTCTCAGATTGGGGGGTCATCCCCACAAGAACCAGGTACATCATCAGAAGAAGGTACTTGGGGGGAGCTTGTCCCCTTCTCTGTGGCTCTGTGGAAACCACTACATAGAGATGGCACATTTATGGCAGGTTTCAAGAGAAGCAACCATTTCCTTATCGTGCTTTCGTCCTAGAGCAAGTCCCTTTACCTTGGTCTCCCTGTCTGCAGTAGTCAAGAGTTCTGCAGGCATTTTTTTCTCCTTTCTCTTCTTTTTCATAAGATCTTACTCACTACTTCAATTAAGGAGCCTTGGTGGCATAATGGTTAAGAGCTTGGCTGCTAATCAAAAGATTGGCAGTACAAATCCACCAGCCACTCCTTGGTAAATGCTATGGGGCAGTTCTATTCTATCCTACAGGATCTCTGTGAGTTGGAATCAACTCAACAGCAAAGAGTTTGATTTTGGGGTTTACTTCAATTAATGTTGTCCATGTCTATAGTAGAGAAAGCCTCATTCTTTTTCTCACATCTGTTTCTGTGTGGGGGCATCAGAGAGGAGTGGAAAGATCAAGGGATTTGATGGCAGAGAGACTTGAGTCCACCTTGCCTAAGCCTCAAGCCCTTCATATACCAATGGGATTAATTCCTGCGCCGTGAGGGTTAAATGAGGTAAAACACACCCAGGGCCAAGCATATGGCAGATTCCCAATACCTCTGTGTTCTTTTCTGCATCTCACCCTTACCTCTGTCAGCAAATGCTTTAAAATTCAAGGACTAAGCTGCTCTTTTAACTTGATTCTCATTTTCTCTCTTAACGTTCTCTTTCCTTTAGGCAATAAGAGATTTAAAGAAAAAAAAAGTGACATGTTTTTTCTCTGTGATTTAAGGGCTTGACCGGACCCCCAGGACGACCTGGAGAGCGTGGAATGCCTGGTTTAAGGGGAGATCCTGTGAGTGACAGTTGGAGGATTTCTGCTGCTTTCACACCAGGGACTTGCAGTCTGTTTGCTTGACACAAAGCAAAGAGCGATTAATTATTCATTAGTGAGGCGACTGTTCAGCCTATCTTATAAGAGATTTTATAACAAATAAAAGATTTGAGAGAAAAACCCAGCTTATAGAGAGTTTAGGTTTTTTTTTTTTTTTTTTGGTGAAAACATACACTCATTCAATAAGTTTTACATGTACAACTCACTGACAATGGTTACATACTTCATGTTGTGTCACTATTCTCCCTACCTCTGCCCATGTTGTTTCATCGTTGTTGACTCAGACTCTCTGCTCCTTAAAGTTCTCGTCTGTGTTTTAGAGTTACTGTTGTCCGTTTGGAGACCTGGTGATGCAGTGGTTAAGAGCTTGGCTGGTAACTAAAAGGTCAACAGTTCAAATCCACCAGCCACTCCTTGGAAACCCTAAGGGGCAGTTCTACTCTGTCCTACAGGATCACTATGAGTCAGAATTGACTCGAGGGCAGTGGGTTTGGAGTTCTGGGGTTTTGGTTGTCCGTTTAATTTCATATACATAATTCTTTGAAAGAGCACAACACTCAAGGCAAACATTCTTTTTTAAATGAGCTAAGTTGTTGTTTAGTTTAAAGATGACTTCATGTGATAGTTTCAGTTTGAGGCTTAAAAGTTGTTTACAGGCAATAAATTTGGGGTTCCTCCAGTCTCAATGGATCCAGTAAGTCTGGTTTCCAATACAAATTTGAAGTTATGTTCCACGTTTTTTCCTCCTTTTGATCAAGATCCATCTATTTGGTCCTTTAGCAAAATGTTCAGTAATGGTAGCCAGACACCATCCATTTCTTCTGGCCTCATGGCAGAGGAGGTTGTAGTTCGTGGAGGCAATGAGACCTGCAGTCCATTTCTTTCTCCAAGAATCTAGGTTCTTAAAAGGGCTGAAATTTTAAATGCATTTGGTGTTTGGGATTACTAAGTAATCCTGGACAGTGGAAAGGTCTACCTTGATTTTCCTTTCTTTTAAAAATCCTTCTTCTGTAATTTCATTTCCTTTCTTTGCCATTCATTTGACATAGCCAACCTTTTATTTTCTCAGGGGGATCCTGGAACTGATAGTTATGTCCAAGCCCCTAAGGGAGAAAAAGGAAGGCGTGGACGTCAGGTAAGATCGTCTCTGTTTGCTTGGGGGTAGTGGTACACATGCGAACAGATTTTACCTGGTGCAGAAGACTTGGGTATTCTAGTTGGATTAGCATAGAGAGCTAGGGAGCAAACCCATGGGACTCCATTGTCCATAGAGACAGGAGCTCTGAATGTCAGTCCCCACTTACATCCTTGTCCTTACATCCTTGTTTCATAAGGTTTGTTTTTCTGTACAAATCTTCTCTCTCATAATGCTAGTAATACTAGTGAGCTGAGTGACTATGAGCCAGTTACTTCTTTTATCTTTGACTTCTGACCCCCAAAATTAAAGCATTAGACTCAAATGAAGTTCTTTTCTAGCTTAAAAAGTCTCCAATTTTATGATGATGTATCGATTTAAAAGCTGCTCAAGGTCATTATATTGTTGGCTTGCTTTCCATCACAGCCAATGGTGACTGATGTGAATTGGGTACTAGCCATTTTCTAAGATAAGATCCTTGTCTATTCTTGTCTAGATGCATTGTGACAGAAGATATCATGGATGGAAAAAAGACTTGACAAACTCTAACTTGTTGGAAGTCATTTTAGATTTTTATGCCCCAGACATTAAAAATCATGATTCTGAAAAATAACTAAAATAATCCAAGTGCCTCAGCCCTCAAATCTCAGCATTCCTAATTTCCAGGAATGAAGTTTGCATAG